CCCCAAAACCCCAAAACCCCACGACGAAGAAAAGTAAAAGATGTCAATAAAATATCATATGATTTCTACTTTAAAAATTAAATAAAATAGTTAATATTATTCTTAATAAAAATAGCATTATAAGTCTAAATGAGTAAGATATCGCACAAAGATTAGGGCACGACTATTGGCTAATCTACCTCTGTATTGTCTAGGTATGGAGATAAATCGTATGATAACCTTAGACCTTTATACGAAAGTCTTTTGACTTAGGAGATAAGCTTAGATTAAAGTATGAATTCACAAATGAAAAAACCATCAGACTTTTAATTGTTTATGGTATCAGTGAAGCTATTCTTTGGGATTTCTTACTTATCAATGCCAAATACTTTTGGCTAGACTGGACTTATTGGTGGAATCTTACTGTTTACAGTAATAATTACTCTAAACACTTTCACAATGAATCAGATTCTAGCAGTATCAGAACAACATCATAACATTAAATCATATTCTGAGCTAGGTGAAAGAATTTTTGGTGGGCAAGGAAGGATTCTATTGAGTGGAAGCATATGGATAAAATAAATATGTGCATGCATCTCATACTTGTATTTTATTGCGACTCAGTTGGATTTTGTGATATGCTAATAATCATAGCTGCAGTATTGCTATGGAAATTCTACGTATATGTTGCTTTTGATTATCCCAGTGATTATTTTGAGTTCTATTGACTCATACAAGTATTTGTCATATCTATCTGTTCCATCAGTTATTATTGCAACAATTGGAATGTTTGCTATATTTTACTATTCCTTTGAACAAATGGCAGCAGGCTTGACCTCTTAATCTCCAATAGTCTGGTTTGATCTAAATGGATTTTTCGGGAGAATCGGGTTAGCAATGTATTTGTTTGATGGAAACGCAGTTGTAATAAATATAAGAGCAGAAGCAAGAGATAAGTCTAAGTATCCTTAAATACTTTAGAAAGCAGTGATATTTGCCTTACTGTTGTTCATTACATTTTCAACTATTTGCTATTCAGTATTTAGAGAACAGTCTAAACCAATCTTCACAATGAATTTGAATCCTGAGAATGCATTAGTCATTTTCATCTTTATTTGCGTTTGCATCAATGCCTTAACATCATACCCTATTTAGATTCTAGCAGCATTTGCAATAGTTGAGAAGCATGATTTTTTTAAATCAGAAAGCAAAGTTAAAGCATTTCTAAAGAAATTTATGAATCGAGCATTTATTATCATTGTTACAACTTTAATATCTATGACTGTACCGACATTTACAGACTTTTTAAATATTGCTGGATCTATTGGATCAGCTACTGTCGGTTTTATATTCCCATAATTACTCTATATGAAGTAATTTCCTTTAATTTCTACTAGAAAAAGATTTATTTGCTGGTTAATTCTTTGGTTTGGAGCCTTAGGAGGATCATATAGTATTTATTTTTCAGTTGAGAAATTAATGAGAGGAGATTACAGTTGAAAAATTGATGAGGGGATTATAATTAAGATTTATTTCTAATAATCACAATATTATTTCTAAGTTGTATTCAAATTATTTAAATTCTAATTCCCTTAATTTGCATAATACGCTTGTTAAGGGGTTTTGGGGTTTTGGGGTTTTGGGGTTTTGGGG